TTGCTTTGATATTACATATATAGGTACTACATGTGGACCTCTCTCGGATTTGTTCATTTTGTAATGATATCTTTAATTCTCTAATTTCGGTGAATATTTTTGTAATTTTTGGTAAAAAGTGATATTTTCGACTTCTTGTTGAAAACCGCAAGTCCAATTGCTTTGATATTACATATATAGGTACTACATGTGGACCTCTCTCAGATTTGTTCATTTCATGATGATATCTTTAATTCTCTAATTTTGATGAATATTTTTGTAATTTTTGGTAAAAAGTGATATTTTCGACTTCTTGTTGAAAACCGCAAGTCCAATTGCTTTGATATATTATACATATAGGTACTACATGTGGACCTCTCTCAGATTTGTTCATTTTCTAATGATATCTTCTGTTCTTTAATTGCCATGTGCATTGCTAACAGCGGAGCTATTTCAGCCGACAGGCTGCTTGTTTTATTATCGCATCATTGTATCGGCTGGTTCTCGTCTCAAATGTCAATGGTTCCGCCATTTTGATTGGTCCATCATTTTCTCGTTGCTTGTTCTATTTCTCTTGGTTACCTGATGTCAGGTCTTACGCTCGTGGCCGTGGCCATTCACGGGTTTCCTTTTTACTTTAGAAAGTTGACTGTTTATAAATTTACACAGAAATGCCAGAAACATCTCAAATATATAAGTCTATGCAGGCTGAATGTATAGGCATGGCGTAATGAAGACTTGTTATACGAATGTCTAAATGTCTGGTTTCAAATAACATTAACCGCTCCCTAAATAAGGGAAATAAATATATACGATTCACTCCCTAAATAAGGGAAATATATATATACGGTTCGCTCTGGGTTATGAGCACCAGCGCATGTGATGGAAAAATGCCCCAGAGCTCACAAACACGAGCGGGTAACTTATAATAAATGTTAGATTAATAATAAAATAATAAATAGACTTCATGGTGTAGCTACACAACTTTCAAACAAAATATGGCATTCCCCCGTTTCAATTGTTGTCTTAACCAGTTTGTGCACATAAAATAGAATAGTCACAAAAGATACAGAATGCATTTCACAAAAATACAATAATTAAACACTTGACAGCTAGTGCCCTAGACTAATGGAAAGTGTGGGTGTGGGGTGTATGCGACTCACAGTTATGTCTGTACGACTTGTGGTTATGTCCGTGATGGAAGTCGGCGCTCATTGTACGGAAAACTGAGTGTAGTCACCACCAGGATAGCAGAATTGACGAAGAAACGATGTTACGCGTCAAGACCATTCGCTCGCAGAAATCCAGCGCTGGTTAGTCTTCAGGGGATATTCGAACAGCCATGTGCGTCACCACAACTTCAAGAATCTGGGACCAACTTTGTCAAGGGTCTTCCTCCACCGTGATGTCTGAAGAAGCAACCCCAATGACGTGACATTCACGCATTATATAGTCGTACACCTGGGATTAACATCACAATACGCTGGAACTTAACGACGGAACCATTCGATGCACAGGGATAATTGACACCACTCAATTACACAATGTAGTGTCACGTTCCACACATTCGCAGTAAACTACTGGAAGTCAATTCAAAACGATTGCTGTGTATAATAGAATGCATTTAGCATTTCTCCGGTTCAGACTGCCACTTCGATAGCTTTACAGTTATTTCCGACGATCCCTGAAACAGGGTTCCAAAGTCACTGTGACGTGATTTCCATCACGTGCAGGTCACGAGTCTTGACTGTACGTAAAGTTAACGGTCTTTCTGAACCGGGGAAGTTGAAATAATTGCGACATAAATGTACCGTATGTAAATAATAAAAATCTATCTCAGCTGTCATATCCTATCTCGCTGTCATATAGTGGATCTTATCCTTAACTGACCACAGTGAATGTATTTTAATACAGACCTTGTGACAACCAATGAAACCATAAAAAAATATAAAAAAATCTCATCCTAAGTGAAATAGCTGCATACATCAAGCAAGCTGTTTATTCCAAAGCCATAATTGGTTTTGCCGTAGTTTTGGCACAACATTTTTGAGATAATCAAGTATTTTCTATATTTTCACCCAAATAGATGTTATTTCCCATATTCTTCAGATTTGTTTAATTTATGCCACTAGAATTTGTTGTGATTTGATGATTTATTGGCATTTAAGGACTGACCTTCCATGTTGTTGTCATTTCTTCAAAATATCACCATTTTTTTGAACTTGTAAAATTAAAAAAAAATTGTGTGGTGCAAAATTTGAGGATTTTACAGTACCGGTATGTGTTGTTGTTTTTTGGTGTAAAATGTCACAAAAAGTTGATCTTTGCCTTTTTTTTCTTTTTTTTTACAGCGATTCAGTCTGCTGGAAGATTTAATGGACAATGCTTGTAAATATACAAGCGATGGTAAACACTTGGCCCGCTAGTTATGTTTATCAAGAATCACATCTTCCATACTGTCATACAAATTATATGAAGTTTTTCAAATTCTCTCTGATGCAAACTTTGTATTTTTATTATTCTCAGGTTTCACTGAATGTAATTTTTCAGTGGAGAAATCAATTTAGTATCTTTCATCTTACTTTGAAACTAGATGAAATTTAGGAGATTAATTGTTCCTCGTTGATCAGTTCTTCATTTTCAGTAACCAAGAGAAAAAAATACTACAAGAATGATTGTAGTACTGTAAAACCTTTTGTTGTATTTAGAATATTTTTTCATACCTGGATTTTATTCGGGGATGTGTTTGTTAGAATGACTGTCATTGTGTTTTTTTGCTGAGTGAATAATTAACACTCATATTGTTTTTGTGTACACTGAACTTGTTAACTATTCACAGGGTTTTATACATGCAAAATTACAATAGAACATCTTGATTCACTGAAAAAATTGTAATTTTAATTCACTGTGACTATGCTTAAAGTATCAAAATAGTGAAATTAACTACCAGTAAAAAGTAATTTACTCACAGTAATCAGAACGTGCATAGAAAAAGGTTGACACTTGATGATACAGGAAACAGAAACACTTAACGACCTGATTGGTTAAACATTGGCCTACTACTGTAAAATACTTTATTTTTGCTATTTTCACTGAATGGACGATTCAGTGAAACTAAAATCCAGCAAATATATCCTTCTTTTTTTCTATATTTCACATTCAACTCCATACACCAAAGTACCCAAAAAATCTTTTCAGCTAAAATAAAGTATTTTACAATAAGTCAAAGACAGCTACTCAAATAGTGAAGTACAACATTAATCTGAGCTTTAAAACAATATTTTCTCTATATTGTATCTTTGTCTATGTAGCATGTATTTTAGAATCAGTTTCATGGATTTTAGAATATTAATATGCTTGGTATTTCCTTATTTTATTCTGGTCGTTTTTATTTAAATGATGTTCCTAATGTAATGTAACGATAAGAATGATTTTACTGTTGTGTGCAATACCATGACTAAAAAGATGTAAATCAGTTTACCCAAGAATATATGTTGTTTTTATTATTAACTGATGGTAAATATATATTACAACAAATCTGGACATTGTGATATATTTATCTGCTTTTCCACCAATATCTCAAGCATTACATTTTTGGGACAATTCAAAAACTTGATTGATTGTGGGTTGAAATTCATGCATAATAATTACCTAATTGCTATAATAATAACCATAATACATTTTCAGCTTTTCCATCGATATTCCAAGTACTAATCACATTTCAATCTAACTTGGTCTAAAGAGTAGTTTGATGGCAGAAAAGGTTGTCTGGAAAGTCATTATAATTACATAGAAATTTACCATAAAAGTTGACTACAAATACGTGAAAATTGATTTCAAAGTCTTCAGTGCTGTAAGGAAGGAAACTCGTTAACTTTACATGGAAATTTGTAAAATTTGACTACAAAGTTGTAAAATTTGGTTGCAAAATTATAATAGTTTGAAAGTTGCCTGGAAAGACATTAATGCTACATTTAAAGTGCATTGTCAAATTTTGATTGGAGAGTTGACTGCGACAACGTAAATATTGATTGCAAAACGTGAAATTTGTTAGAAATTGACATGTAATCACTCCGGGGAGTTTCGTGCATTTAAATGTCTGCTCCAAATGACGGTGTTCCTATGAAAACGGCCAAGTCTTGTGCTTAGAAAAACTCTAAAAAACGTGAATCCTGCTATCTGAGTGATGACATACAAACTTGGGAAGTCGTTAAAGTTACCCGGAAACTTGTTAAAGGAAAGTAGTTAAAGATGCCTTGAAAGTATTTTTTGTTTTTTTTGAAAAGTTTACTGCCAAGGGGCTAACGAGTCTGTTGAAAAGTCATAACAGTTGACTCCAAAGTCCAAAAAGTAGTAAAAGTTGTTACAACTACAAAAGACGTTACAAATGTTTGAAAAGTATATGTTGCTAGGAAAGATATAAGTTCTAAAAGTTGCTTTTTCGTCGTTGCTGGATGTGATGGGAAAGTTTTAAGCCGGAGGAAATTCGTAATAGCTGCTTGAATGTAGAACTATGTCGTTTAAAATTTAAAGTTACATGATAACTCTTTATGAGATATGAACGAAGTGATAACAGTTCACTACAAAGTTGAATAACTTAATTGCAAAGTCTTTATAATTGCAAGGTTGTGAAGGTGATTTTATAGTTGGTTGGAAAACTGACTGCAAAGTCGCGAATCTTTGTTGCAAATTCGCCTTATTTCCTAGAAATTTACAAATAAGATGATTAATTTATCTGCTAAAACGTTAAAGTGGGGGAAGTCGCCATAAAGTCAAGAGGAAAGTTTACAAGGTTGTTACAAAATTGTAAATGTTGACAGCAAAGTTTAATTTCTAGTAAGTTGGCTGCAAAGACGATAAACGTGTTTCAAAGTCACAAAAGTTGCTTGGAAAGTCGTTTAAGTTGCATGGAAATTGTACAAACTGTTTAGAATGTCGTTAAATAGACAGTTGAAAACATTGACCGCAAATTTGTGAAAAGTTTAGTGTAATGTCAGAAAGGTTGGTTGGAAAGTCTCTAAAGTTTCACGGATACTCGTTGCAGTTAACATTACCTGGTAATGTATAATTGGTGACTTTTAGATGTTTATGTTGAAGTGATTAAAGGTGATTAGAAAGTCAAAAATATTGCATTCAAATTAAAAAACGCGGCAGTACTAGTAGTAGTTAAAATTGCTAAGAAAGTAGTTAAAGTTCGATGGAAAGTTGTAAAATTTGACAGCAAAGTAAAGTTGACTGAAATTCGAAAAGGTTGTTCGAAAAAGACTAAAAGTCGTCAATGTTTCGTGGAAAATTGCAAGACTATACTGCAAGGTAAAAAAAAAGTTGGATTGAATGTCTAAAATGTGCACATTTATCTCAACACGACTTGATCACAGTCAAAGTATATGAAGTAGAAAATGTTATATTATAAAAGTTGCATGGTGAAGTCTGTAAAGTTGCCAGAAAAGATGGTAAAGTTGTGTAGAAAGCCAGTAAAGTTGCTCGGCTGGAGGCTAAATTTACACGGAATATTTGTAATTCGGAGTACTGGTAAAGCTAAGTAGAACGTTTGTGAAGTCAAAGTTAAAAGTACAGCAAGATTGGGAAAAAGTCAGTAAAACTGCATGGAATGTCTGTAAAGTTAAAGTGCATATCAAAATAATGTCGGTAAGGTTATGTAAAAAGTCATCAAAGTTATATAGATATGCGGTATACTAGTATATGTAGTTGCATCGAAAGACGGTAATAATTTGTTGGAAGTCAGTTAAGTAAAAGTTGTGTGTCTGTAAAGTTGTACGGAAAATTGTTAATTGAAAGCAGATTTTGGAAAATTGGTAAAATTACGTGGGACATCGGAAAATATTGTTGGAAAGTTTGAAAAATTGCCTCAAAATTAATAAATGTATTAATTAATGTGTTGAAAGTTCTATGCTCTGTGAAATGCTAGTAAACTTATATAGAATGTGTATAAAAAGTTGTGCGTCAAGTCAGCAAAGATGCAGTGAAATTCTGCAAAGACTTATTGAATGTCAAGTTTTGTGAAAAGTAGCTGGGAGTGTCGGCAAAATTTCATGGAAAGTCGGTTAAGTAGCAAGGAGAATTGATGAAGTTGTGTGAAAAATTAAAAAAACGTTTCGTGGAAAGGTGGAAACGTTGATGGAGAGTAGGTACAATTTTATGTTAAGTTGCGTTGAAAGTTAGAAAATCGCGATCGGTAAAGTTGCATGGGAAGTTGCTGTATATCAAAATCAATGGATGACCAATCAGGTGAACTTCAAACATCGCTGCATGTCATATATATGGTCATATTAGCAGAAATCAGATGTTCATCTTCAGGATATACTTTTCAGAAGCTCAGAAAAAAAATTATTAAACAGTTCATAGAAAAATGTCTATTCAAATTCAAGTATTCAAATCTGCATTTCTTTGTCTGAAGTGGAAAAAGATAGTCTAAGAGATGTCATCATTACAACTGTTAGATGAAAACAAAGTTGTTACTAAAGATACATGTGGATCAAATAGTAGAACTAAATGCAGATATATATATAGATAAAATTGCAATTATAGCTGTAAATCAGAAAATAACGAAATACTTACATAGACACTGGCAAGTCGAGCGGATAGTTTCTACTCTGTAGATAAGTGGAGAGGTTGGAAAAACATGGCAAGCCAGGTGATTCTCTGTTGGTAAGTTGGTAAGATAATTTCATCAATCCTTCTTATTGATGTTATAGGGGAACATAGTATTGAATTCATTGATAATTTAGAGTTTCAATTGTTTTGTTGTTGGTTTAATTTGATTTTTTGTTTGTTTTTAGATTGCTGTGATTGGCATCATATTCTTGGTTATAATGTTGAACCACGAGGGGGGACTTTGCGTGCGTTGATGATGTAAAGGTGTTCGTTATATGTGCTTTTAAAATTTGATCTGTGGAATAAATACGTATGTAGCATAATGATTGACGCCATGGTATGGACTTTAAAGGGCAAACATAACGAGAAACATTTTACAGTTTTCGAAAATGAGGCGGTTTTACATATTTTAGCTAATATGTTTAAAAATGTGACTGATCTGGCCTTACTTTTTAAATATTTAGGCCAAAAAAATATTAATAACCAATGGCCAACTCACAATGACCATTTGTAGATGATAATTTTGACAAATATGAAATAATAGTTAATTTTAATCCTCTTGAAATTTATCATTTTATTTATAAGTTTGTATAGACATAATATACATCTTGGTTTTGACGATTAAAATACTAGATCTCTATACAAGGTGTTTAACACCATGCACAAATAAAGTTATTCCTGTTCAAATTGTTAATTAAGTGTAATATACAAGGTTAATCTAACAACATTTTTATGATAATTAACTAGTTTTCGTATTTGACCCTAATACATTAAATATTTCGTGAGAATTTTCACATCTGAATCGTATAATGAACTTCTTTCACAGAAGATGATATATTGATGTAACAAAAGCAATTCACACGTGTTTATACTGGTAGAAGTTGAAAAGTTTTTTGGTTTGACATCCAGGGCCAGTTTTTTAGGGGAGGGGTGGATCTCGACAATTGCCGAGTTCCATGCATTAACAGTATTGCCAAGATTTGGCATCCAGGGCTATTTTTGGGGGGTTTGGGAGGGGGATCTCGACAATCGTCGAGATCCAAGCACTAACAGTATTGCCAAGATTTGGCATCCAGGGCTATTTTGGGGGGGTTTGGGAGGAGGATCTCGATTGTCGAGATCCAAGCACTAACAGTATTGCCAAGATTTGACATCCAGGGCCATTTTTGGTGGGTTTTTTTGGGGGGGTGATCCAAGCATTAATAGTATTGCCAAGATTTGATTTGTCCGGCGGTGGTCTTCGCGCCGCGTCATGTTCGATATGGGACCCATGGCGGCATACACAACGCGTGTAGATTACATTGTTTGTTTACATGATATTCGACACACGTGCTGCGAGACGACCGCCGCCCTTTAAGATAGATGCGGTGGAAATTTGTCGACCATAGAAACGTGCGCTTTTCGATATATTTAGTGAAAACGGTTGTTTCAATCAGTCGGTGAAGTTAATTTGAAAGACAGTACAGTTTCGCACGGTTGCATGGAAAGCGCATGTAAGGGGAGGTAAACGTGTACAGTTATGCGGCAAGTAAATTTGTAAAGTTGCGTGGAAAGACGTTAAAAGTTTCATGGCAACAAATTAAAATTTCACGAAAAAAATAATCTGATATACCACATTACTAGTAGTTGTCAACCAAGGGCGTTAAGTTGCGAATTATATGTAAACACAGTCTGAGTTCAAGCAAAGT